TTAGTTATTTCACTGCAGAAACATGTTTTTATAGTATCCCCTCAGTGCACTGAACTAATGTTGTAATTTAAAAGTTCAGATTGTGATTGACTAGCATTTCTCTTCCCTTGCATAGATTGATTACCTGATACAAACCAGGGTACCACCTTATTTTTAAAGGCTTGATATAAAATGGGTATGACTCAGTTATAACAAGAAGGCTGGGCAGAATAATGACTCTATGCATTTAAGGGGAAGCAAAATTATGCAGAGAGTCTGGACTTGCTTCCCTTAATGGTCATGGTTGTTGTGTTTCTCTCACCACTTTCTGCAGCCCTCCATACAAAAGTCATAACGTGAAACCACTTTTTAGTGCTGACACCAAAAACAGGGGAGAAAACTATGTTCATTTACTCTGCATAGAGTAATTTTCTTAAAAAAATAGTACAACGCACACCCTCTGAAAGTATATTTTAAAATTTGTTAAATACCAGAAACAATAAAAATAGTTTAATATACACAGAAAGGTTTAGAGTCTGTGTTTAAAGTATCGCAAAATGGGTGGAAATCCTCCTTTTTTTTCTGTTCCCGTTATAAAAATTCTAGTCTTAAAGTTTTTCAAGTTTGTAATGATCTTAGCTCTGTTCCTATGTTCTACACCCTCAAATTTCCTCTCTCAAGTTTCTACCTAGGTGCCAGAAAGGGCAAAAAGAACAGTAGGGAAAATGATGCTACCGGGTTCTCCTGATTTACTCTCCTTCCTCAATTGCACTTTTCTTTGGTCCCACCTTTGTCTGCCTCCACAGTGCACCTGGCTGACAGATGAACTTGGGCACACACAAGCATGCCAACCATCATCCAGCATAACTTTACACAATGAGTATACAAAATACTTTAAATATTTAAACTCTAAAGATGGAGAGAGGCCGAGAGGAAAGTGCAAAGAGAAAGTGCACAGATTTCTTTTATTGCCCTTCGGAACTTCTGTACTACCTCCCTTAGCCTTTGGGGCTTACAACGTGTTTCCTTCAATTCAGAATAGGGTTGAACTTAACCAAAATTTTCTAGTCCTTGTCCAGCCAAAGCGCAGGGCTGGGGTTCTGAATAGCTGATGGTTTCGATTCCCGGTTGCTTCTATCCCTTTCAGATGAAGAGACCTGAGGGAGAGGTGTAACCTCTTTCTCTTGGAAGCTAAGAAGCAGAAGCAAAGTTATCCTCCACTGTCAGGCCAGGATAGCGGGAATAAACCAATTCTCACAAAAGCCTTACCCATAACTGTATTATTTTTGGAACGAACTGCAAATGGTATTCACAACACACATCATCCCTCTCTTCCATTTCCCTCTTTTCCCTGGAGATAAATTATAGGCAGTAACAGAACGCTTGGCTCATTTGGGGTATTAATACCTTTCAAGTTACAATCAAAAGCTGGGTGAAGGGTAGAGAGATCCCGTTGGTGGCTCAATGTTACAAAGTGAATCAGGAACAACAAAACTCACTTTGCTGACTCTTGATATGTGGATTCTCATTACGGGAAGGGAGTGAAAGCTCAATACCACGTTCCTCATGTAACATGAGAAAATTAGAACAGCTAAGGTCTGTTTTTTTCCCTTCTGGTGACCACTTCATTAGGAAGAGAAAATAACCACAAAGTGAAAACAAATCAAAATGTATAATAATGATACAATGGGTGGCTAAGTACAATTCATAAATTTAATGGGACCACTGGAATTAGATAACGAAAAAGGCTCTAATGTTTACTATGAACTTGACAGAGTTCACAGGAGAAGGATTTTTCTGAAAAGATACATGGAAGTATTTTTAAACTAAATTGAATTGTATTTTAAATGTGCTGGGTGAGGTATCTGTTTAATAATACGTTGGTGAACTAGAGGTCCTGGGGATGATAACGTTTGTTAATTTGTAAACTACATGCTAAAGATGTCCACCTAGAATCATAGAAACAATTGTTGGGATTTTCTTAAATTAGCGTAAAAGTGTATTTAGTGTGTTTGAGGGGTACGTAAGGTAGAAGGCCCTATTTTTCCAGTGTTTAAAATAATGGTATTATTGGGGCGCCTGGGTGGATCGGTTGTTAAGCATCTGCCTTTGGCTCAGGTCATGATCCTGAGGTCCTAGGATTGGGCCCCGAGTTGGGCTCCCTGCTCGGTGGGAAGCCTGCTTCTCCCTCTCCCACTCCCCCTGCTTGTGTTCCCTCTCTTGCTGTGTCTGTCTCAGTCAAATAAATAAATAAAATCTTTAAAAAAATGGTATTATAAACTGCTTTGAGTAGAATAATAAAATTTGGAGAAGCTGTGCTAAAAAAATGTTGATGGGAAGAAGTTCTAAAAAGCAGCTGAATTCTATATTCCCTTGTAATCAATTTCTATATTCCTTTGTAACTTCTATTTCACAGATGAGTGATGACTGGCTTTAATGCTGAGGTTTGAATCCTAACCCGATCTCTGTCACTACTCTGTGTCCTTGACACTTTTCAATTTATTGTTTTATTTTAGAGAGAGGTAGGGGAGGAGAAGAGGGCGAGGGAGAGAGAGTCCTAAGCAGACTCTGCACTGAGTGGCAGAGCCCCACATGGGGCTTCATCTCAGGACCCTGATATCACGACCCAAGCCAAAACCAAGAGTTGGAGGCTTAGCTGACTTGGCCACCCAGACACCCCACATTGTTTACATTTTTAATGCCCCATTTAATTATGTGTAAAACAGGACTTATAATCCCTCCCTCATTGTTTGTTTGATTGTTTTTGGTAAGAATTAAATGAGAAAATGTGTGAACCATCTGATTTAATAAAAGCAGAGTAGTAATATGTTTTCCAATGATGTTAACAATTTTTAGGATCTAAATCCATTTTCTTGACCATCACAGAAAAGTGAATGAAATATAAACAGACAATATCACAAATACAAACACCTATGTAATTCCTACCAGATCAAGAAACAGAGTATCCGGAGTATACAGAGTCCCCTTCCAGGAGATTTATTTATTCTAGGGGTCAGGGAGGGGCAGAGGGAGAGAATCTTCAAGCAGACTCTGCACTGAAGGCGGAGCTGGGGGCAGGGCTCGATCTCATGACCATGACCTGAGCCAAAACCAAGAGTCAGACACCCAATCCATTCAGCCACCAAGGCACCCCTGCCTTGCCTTTTAAGTAGAATTTATTTAAGTGATAAGCATAGGGCATGGAAGATATTACATTTCGAAAGCCCTAGGAAGCCACAGGTATGGACTAATTACTAAAAGCTTTTGTAGAAAAGTATGTATCAGGATGTATTATAAATATATTTAAGTATATCATTAAGCAGGAAGGGGGCACTTAAATCCAAAAGGAAATCAGAGGGAGTATTTAGAGGCTCCTCAGACCCTAATGAAAACTCAAGGCTGAACATAATTGTAAACATTTCTGGGAGAGCTTTTAAGAAATGCCACGTAATACTGGACATTAAAAATAGCAGATGCACATTCTCCCTTTTCTTATCTTAGTCATCCTGGAGGTTTATAGTGAAAAATAAGCTCTAAGGTCCAATTCAAAGAATAGGAAATCAGTTGTCAGACTTTATTGTTTGAGGAGGAGCAGTCTAACCTTTTTAAAAGAATATTTTTTATATTAAAGATATTTCAAATTTTATTTATTTTTTTATTTAAATTCAATTAGCCAACATACACTACATCATTAGGTTAGACATTTGAAATTTTAGCATCTAACTAGGTTGAAGTCAGTAGAGTTGGATTTCAGTGCTTCTCTTCCATTCACTAGCTGTCATTACTAGCCACTCTGAACCTCAGTTTCTTCCTTTGCAAAATAAGGATATACAAGCTATTTTTGTTGTTGTTGTTGTTGCAAGGGATCATTGTGAGGATCAAGTGAGATGATATTGCAAACTTTCTGAGCTGTAAGGCACTTACAGAAATATTATTATATTTTCATAATATAAAATGGAATGTCTATTAGCTCCTTACTTTAGGCCAGGTATTGATTAGAGTAATTCTACATACATCATTTTATTTAGTCTTCAGAACACTGTGATGTCAGTATGATTATGATGATGATGATAAAGTAAGTTCTTATTATGTTGATTATTTTTCACAGGTTATTCATAATAGAAGTCAACATTTTAATATAAATCTAATTTTAAAATCTTTCCTCCATATCCTCCTATCTATGAATTGTGGCACTTCCACATTTTAGAGGCAGAATGATAATGCCTGGATTAAAAGTCTGGACCAGGGTTTCAACCTCAACTCTCCTACTATCTAACTATGTCATTTTTTCTACACATTCTCCCAGCCAGATGTTTCATTTATATAATAAGGGAATATAAGGAAAGAATATCCTGAAATCTGAGAGTCTTCCTGATTTTCCCTAATTTTGGATTAATAGGAAGAAGGGCATCATGAAAACTATTGTGAAAAAAAGGGATATTGATTTAAAATTCAAAAAACTCACATTAGGCACTAATAAAATGTTTTCAAGTGGAGGTCCCTGCTATTTTTAAGGTCCAGTATTACGTGTTTAGAGTATAATCAGTAACATCATTTTCATAATAAACATTCCAAATTGTATCTTTATAAAAAACATATTTTCTTAAACAGGTTAAAGAAATCAGCCAGCTCTACATGCCCTATATTTAAAATATTTTACTTAGCAATCCATATATAATATCTCAAATATATATAAATATTTCAACTTGTCAAAAGCTAAATGATCTTTGAAATAGTGGAATAGTAGTATGTGGCTTGACAAAGTTTTTGCATGGCATTTCCTTAGAAGAAAGAAGAAATAAATATTATACAGAAAATAGAACTCACTCTAGGTTTAGTATATAATCCAAAGAAAACTAACTTTTGGAATAAAAAGTATGATATTATCAATTCAGTATCATATCTCTAGATTTTTATTACTTTAAAGATGTAGATCCATCTAAAAAATCACTACTTCATTTAATAATTCAGATGCTTGTTATTTGGTTTTTTTTTTCAGATTCTCCTTAATAACACCAATACTACAAAAGGCTACTATGTTGACCTCAGCCAAAATTCTGTTGATTTCAAATGTGTTTAGTTTACTATTAATTGGAAGTCATGGGAAAGAAAGTCTAGAAAGAAACACAACACAAAGCATTGCAGCAGACCTAAAAACAATGGAAAATGAATCTGTTCCTTTGGAAAGTGATGCAAATTTAAGCTCAGATAAAGAAAATAGAGAAACCTCCAATCCCGAGGCAAGTAATTCCTCTCTTTGGGATCCATTAAATAAACGCCATGGAACAACAGAAGTCTTCAGCAATTCATCAACAAACAACTTTTCTAGGAATCCAAGACCCATGCCTACGTCTCCCACAAGCTCTCCTCTGATCCATAGCTTTGTTTCTAAATTGCCTTGGAACTCATCCATAGCAGATGAAAATCCTCTTCCAGTCTCAGCACCTCCCAAAGCTACATCTGCTATATCTTCAGAAAAGTTCACTTGGTCTTCAGCCAGTGATACCATAAAAACTCCTGGCAACAGTTCCATTTCAGTTAGCATCCTCCCCACGGCACCAAACACCACGTCTGTGACCCCCATGATAACAAAACCAGAAGAATGGCTCACCACATCCAATGATAGCTTCATAGGGTTTACCCCGTACCGAGAAACAACAACTCTACAGCCCACTTTAAAGTTTACCAATAATTCAAAAATCTCAAATACATCAGACCCCCAAGAAGGTAAATATAAATGGATTTAACTTTCCTTTTGTGTGAAACTGAATCTCGAACTAAGTCATGCAGATTACAACTAAAGAATGTACCATATTGAAAAAAAAAGACTACAGCAGCACAGGTGGTTCTCATTTTTGAGGGGCAACCATGATATTCAGTGGAAATAGTGAAGGGATTATCAGGCTTCAGTCAGCATACAGTAGTCATTACTATATGGGAACATGATGAGACAGCAGGACAAAATTGGAGGAAGGTTAGGTTGAGGTAGTAGTACAGTTTTGAGATACTGGGCAATGATTTTCACTGAATCTGAGAAAACTGCCTGAAATGCCCCATGCTTTTAGGAACAATATGCAACTGAACTTTAAAAATATATATATGTGAAAATTGAATGAAATAAATGAATTTATAAATTATCTGATACCACATAGCAATCATAGGAAAACAGAACACTGATTTTTTTTAAAAATGTAAATAAACTCAACAAAAGGAAATCCTCCTGAATTTTTAGTTTAGTACCTATTGAACACCATAAAAATGGAATGTAGCTGTGAGTATCACAAGAAAAGCATATTATAGGAACATTTTTATGTTTCACTTAGGGATTATGTCAAGCTTTAAAGCATAAAACAGAAAAAAATCTCTAATATTTAATGAAAATTCATCATGTTTTATTTTTTCAGGTCTACCCAAGTTTTTGTTTCCCTGAAATTTGTTTTTCAAGTTTTTGTTTAAATTCTAGTGAGTTAACATATAGTGTAACATTGGTTTCAAGGGTAGAATTGAGTGATTCATCACTTACCTACAACGCCCAGTGCTTATCACAAGTGCCCTCCATAATGTCCATCACCCATCTAGCCCATCCCCTACTCACTTTCCTCCAGCAAACTTGTTTTTCTCTATCCTTAAGAGACTCTTATGGTTTGCTTCCCTCTCTCTCTCTCTCTTTTTTTTCCCTTCCCATATGTTCATCTGTTTTGTTTCTTAAATTCTACATATGAGTGAAATCATATGGTATTTGTCTTTCCCTGAAATTTTTAAAAAATACTCTTATTTCCCCCATGAATCCAATGACTTGCAATACAACTTACTTTCAGATTATATTAATGATGTAAACACTAAATCATACGTACAAATTCCTACTTGAAAGTTGTTAGTGTACAGGAAAAGTTTTAAATTTTGAAATCTAGGCTTTATAATAGCACTGCAGCTAATAGATTGTAAGTACATATATTTTCATTTTAGCTATAATTTTAATTCATCCTTTCATTCATACATACTCTGATACTACATCAGAAAGAGTTTTTTTGTTTTTGTTTTGTTTTTTTTTTGAGATAGCGCAAGCAGAGCGGTGGGGCGGGGAAGAAGGAAAGAAAATCTTAAAGCAGCTGCACACTCACCATGGAGCCCCACGTGGGGCTCGATCTCAGAAGAGTGAGATTATGACCTGAGCCAGTATCATGAGCCAGATGCTTAACTGACTGAACCACCCACGCACCCCTACATCAGAAAGATTTTTAATAAATATTTTCTCTCTTTTGCCTCTCTAAACTCAACATACATTCTAAGAATACAGAGTACTTATGCCCACCATTGCTCTTTAATCAAAAGAAAATTAGTTGACTTTGTTTTGCTTTTATTTTAGTAGTAATTTTGCTGTTAAGCTTCTAGTGTGTAGGTTAATTTTTTTATCAATGGGTTTTAATATAGAATTACAGACTTTATAAGACCCCTTGCCCACTTAATTAATAACATTCTCATGAAATTTTTAAAAAACTCTGAAAATACAATACACTAAATATGAGTTCAGGGAGCAATACATAATTTGTTAATAACGACCTTAGTCTTCAAATAAAGTACTTAGTAAAAAGGGATGATAGAGTAAAATTTTGGGCTCCCTTAAACTCAGACCTACACATCTGTTCTCAGTGTGCAAGACACTGCAAACATCTTGCTTTGGTCTATCTACTGTATCTGGAAATATCCTATATCAGGATATACTGCTTTTCCCTTATAGTGCCTTTTCATTTGGGGTTTTGTGGATTCATTTTCTATCACTCACTTATTCCCATTAGCTTTTTACTTTTCAGTTATTATAGAAACAAGGTTCAAGGTTCATTTCATCATTAACGTTCATTAGAGATTCAGAGTTGATTAAAAACTTAATATAGCACTCAACATAGAAATTAGATCTTAATGGAGCATACACATGGTATTTCAGTACTATTGTTGTTAAAAAAGGAATGAGAGACAGTTACGAAACTAAGAAGTATTTCAACGTAATTAAAAATTTGAAGTATGGTTTTATCAGGAGGTATATTTCCCAATATATTCCAAATACTCAGAACTTGACAAAATACACACACACACACATCACCATTATCTAATTAAAAAAACAATATTCTTTAAACATTCTTTGTTATAAAGTCCAATGTATATATTTCTCTTCTTTGAAAAATTATTTTATATTTCTTTATCTGTTAATTATTTTTTTCTTCTCTAGAGAATAAAAATACAGGAGTAGTATTTGGGACCATCTTAGGTGCTATTCTGGGTGCTTCATTGCTTAGTCTTGTTGGCTACTTGCTGTGTGGAAAAAGGAAAATGGATTCATTTTCCCATCGGAGACTTTACGATGACAGAAATGAACCAGGTAAAAGCAACTTTTAGGACCTCACCTGCACACGCTGGTTTTAATTAAATGAGGATGCCCATGTTCACTACATTATCTAGAAGGGAGTTGGAAATTTACATGACAGAAACAGACTAAAGATTTATTCTGATCTACTCTCTGTTTCTCAAAGAACATAACCAAAATACTTATGGACCTGTGGATGGAATTTTAAAGCCATTTGGAACTGTGGCTCACTGCAAAACAATTAGTTTTAAATAAACCAAATCCCAGAACCTAAAACATGTCTATAGAACTGGAAGAGAATGGTATGCCATTGAGGAAAAAAAATGGCCAGTTTTGTTAGCAAGTAACTGCAGAGCCATATTCTCTGCCATTGTTGGATCTCTTAGCAGCAGTAACTTGAACAATGACTTATTCCAATTTGGAGTTCTTCTAAAGTTTACACAGATGCAGTAGCCCTCAATCAATTATCTTAATGAGTCTCTAAAACAGAATCTATAAAAAGCCGTATATTTGGGTACATCAAATCACAATAATGCAGGAATTTTTCACTCATGTGATAGAAAAGACCAACTGTAATATCTATGAATGAGAAATGTGTCTGCTAAAAATAAAGAACTGGATTTGTTCTTAATATAATACTAACTAGAACAGAAATGAAATAATTTCAAATAATTGACTCATCTTTTTTTTTTTATACTTCAGGAAAAAAAATGTTTTCTGTTCTACAAAGGACTCTTGCCACCATAAAAAAGAGTTAAATGCCCCTGGTACATCCTGTTGATAAAGTCTTGTTGATTTTACTAAGTTCAGAGCATGACTGACATATTAATCACCTTCAGAACCAAATCCATTAACTGTAAATTTAACTGAATTCTATTTTGGGGGTTTCTAGCAATCCATATAAAATAAAAAGTGGCACTTTTCAAAATTAAAGGATAGAATTTCAGACAATAGGGGTTTCCAAACTTTTTTTTTTTAACCCCAGAATCTTTTCTTTACCTGTAATCACATGCAAAAGCTCAGTCTATCAAACTGATACAGTCTAAGATGTTGTGATTAAGGCATAATGGAATAACTCAATCACAACACCTCCTTGTCTCCTTCAAGAGAGCTTTGAGAAACCTCCCCCAAGTCCCTAAGGTTACTGGACACCCAGTCTGTAAACAGAAGGTATAAAGAATGGGTAGGATATGAGAATACTTAACTGAATAAATAAATCACTAATCTAACTAGTAATTAGTCACTGCCTTAATACTTAAAGATACCCAGCACGTGCCAAATTTTCTTTGAAAATAAATTCAAGATCATTAAGGAAGTAAGAATTGGCTGTTCATTGAAAAAGTAAAAAAGAATCTTATATCATTAATCAGAGAATGTCAAGTGCATGATAACTAGGATCTATCACAAAGAAACATAAGGTTTTACAAAGTTTTCTTCCATCTCCAGCTTCCCTGGCTCAACCATAAAGCTATTGAGACACTTAGAAAAATAATGACACTGATATAAAATTAATGCTCTTCAGTTTTTAAAAATTATTTTTTTACACCAGAAGTAAAAATTCTGAACATGTTGACAAGGCTCTGAATTCACAAGATTCAAAAGCCAATGAGACATATGTCTGTCTGTCCTTCATACAAAGTACCGTTCTACTTTCGTTGTGATTTCTCCCTTAGTTCCTTTATTTTTGGTTCACCAGTAGTAAATTTATTTTAGAAGTTAAACTGTTCTCTTAGTCTTAGAAAGAAATGGGTCATGAAAAATATAGACTTATTTAAAATTTCAAAACCAATATCTGCAAAGCCCACATGAAAGATGTATCTACTTACTCATCTAGAACAATTGCTACAGTCTGGCAGATGCCTGAGCATGCATCTTCCAGACTGTCAACATAAAATAAATTTTTTTGTTACTTTTTTAGTTCTGCGATTAGACAATGCACCAGAACCTTATGATGCGAGTTTTGGGAATTCTAGTTATTACAACTCAACTGTGAATGATTCGTCTATGCCAGCAGGCCAAGAAAATGCACGGGACAGCATTCCTATGGATGACATACCTCAACTTCGTACCTCAGTATAAAACTAAAGGGATAAAGGCTTCTGATGGCAAATGATCGCCTACATCCTAGTCTTTTCACAAACCCATCTTCCAAAAGCTGAAACAAGATCACTGTCATGTGGCTGTGCCAAGGAGAACTATAAAAGTATGAGACCAGTAGCAGAAACATAGAGGATAAATCATCTAAAAGGTTTCATTTCTTACCATGTTTGGCTGTGCTGAATCATCTCTCGAGTAACCTTAATTTGTATTTTGGTTTATTTTATTCTTAGTGGGAAATGTTTATGGGAATCAGGTAAAACTAAAAGGTTTCACGATGCTTGCCCTGCCTGTAATTTAACTAACCCTATTGTCCTAATTTCATGCATCAAGATGGGCATTCCCTTGAAGGAAAACTGGAACAGTAATTTTTTTTAATTTTGACTTAAGAGAGAGAGTATCTGGAGTTTCTGTTCCTGGGAAACTAAGGTAATGGGAGTGAGAGACTTCTCTCTAGTACATTTTACTTTCCTGTCTCAGCACATACATGGTCAGTCCCTTGAATTGCCAGACTGACAATGACTTTGCATTCAACAGGCCACAGTAGGAAAGCTGACTCTACCCAGGAAAGGGATAGGTTCTCTTCAAAGGCTGGGGAATCCTAACCTGTCAGATTTCTTTTAGGACTCAATTAATTGGGTGCTTTAAAGAGTCAATGGGAAACACGGTGAAAAAAGTCAGCCAAAGCATATACCTGTACATAATTTTTACAGTCTTAAAATGTTAAATAAGAACAAGATTTATTATGTATTAGATATTATTCCTCAATCATATATGGAATAGATTCTGTATCTCTAAGTGTATAAAGTGTAATGTTAAGAAAATAGACAAATAGAAATATTATGCAGACGAAACATTTTCTGAGCATCACTTTTACACGCAGTACATGCAGCATCATTTGGATTCTAGTATGTTTCAGTTTGTTTTTAATCACCACCTGCATTCGGCAGGAAAAATACACTCCTTAGTATAGGAAGGTCAAGGTTTTAGGGACTAGAGGATTAGAGCAAGGGTTAAATTCCCAAAGAAGCAGTGAATGTGTGAAGAGGGCAAACAAAGCAAGAGATTTCATCGTTGGGTTGATACACAGGGTGTGTGTTTGTGTGTGTGTGCGTGTATGTGAAGAAGCAACAACAGCCTCAGAAAATGGGGACAAGCAATTAAGTAACAGAAGAACATACTTACCCCATATTGCCATAAAAATAGCAAAGAAGACCGTCCCTCCATTATCAAACAAATATGTCACCTTAATGGAAAATGAAGCAAAAATATTAGTCACAAACTGATTATAATAATCTAGTGATTACAGTGTACATCTAGGTTCTATGTTTTTTTTTCCAAATGGAATCCCATTACTTTATGGTTTATAAATATAAGATATGAGATCCTTTCATGCGTCCTGCAACTGTTTCATATGATGTTTTCATGGGGAGAGGTGAGGAATCAATATTTTCCCCCTTCTCTTCTTTCTTCCCTCATATTCCCTGTGGACTTCACCTTCATTTCTGCTAAAAAGGGGTTCTAGCACCCTGAGGAAGTATTGTGGGCCACCGATTGTCAGGCTAAGGTTAGCTTTTCAGTTGAGGCATACCTAGTTGCACTTCCTGTCAGCAAAACTTCTAGGACTGGGAAGTTACAGAATGCAGGATTCCACCAGTGAGGCAGCACCTTCAATGGAAAGGTATCACAGTGCTCGCCCTACTTTCTGACATCTTTCGGAGTGTGCCATGGGTCCGATAGTGGCTACAATTTTTTTAAGAGGTTTCATATATCATGAAACATTTAGGATAAGTCCAAGTGTTTTTTTGAATCAGACATTACCTGAATTTTTATAAAGAACAGTGTACAGTGGTATGATGTTACTGAATACAATATTCAGGCTTGCAAGGATTGTTTGATTTTAATAAATTATAAATTCAGCTTACCTTTGCTTCTTTTCATTTGCATAATGCCCTCCCTATAGTTATATTTTGTATTTATAGTGATGGCTATTAAACCAATACAGCTGAAGTAATATATGTTTCATTGTCATATACATAGGTACCATAGAAACTACAGGGAAAACAGGGGCGCTATCCTCACAGGAGAGAAAGGCCAATTAGGGGCTCAAGAACATTATTTTAAGGGAAGTGGGAATACACTGGTGTCCTCTTTGTTCAGTCTACAGTCCAGAGGCTGGTCAATGAGTGCATTAATACCAATGTGTATTTTAATTGCAACATCTGGGACACACTGCAAAACAATAGGTAAAACAGATAAAGGTAGGGTGTGTTTTCCTGTCAAATAAAACACTACTGAAAATATCATTATACAAAACGTGCTCCTTTCAAAGGTTTGTGGGTAGGTGCAAGATGTCCTAGCTGGCTCTAAGCTTCTATGGTTGTTAAGGCTTGGGATTTCTAAAAATGTTCTAAGAATTGGTTTTCACCACAATCATCACTATATATTATGTACAGGCGGGAAAATGGCCATAAAGAAATTCTCTACAGAGCTCATAAAATTACACCCAGTGGGGGAATCCAGCGTTTTTGTTTCCGAGGGCATCCCACAGAGACACCTGCTATTGCCAAGCAGGTGAATAGCTGTCTGATTTCCTTCAGAACAGACCCAGTGCAGGAAACAGCCTCTTCAAGTGTTAGAACAGAGACTTTACACATGGGGACTTAAAGGTCACCAAGAAAACATGGCTTTTCCCCTGCTCCAGAAACAGCAGTGCTTTTAGAAAAGGGACAAATACAAAGCCATGCTTACCAATAATTGGTTTGCATGGCTATGATTTGTCATAGTGTAAGCCATATTTTCCTTAAAAAAGCTTTTCACTTTTTTCTTCTGAGTTTGTTCACAAATCTTTCAGGCATTTTTTTTACTCAATAAATAAAACATTCATTTTTTTAGAAACACATCCATGAGACACGGTAAGATATACATGTAATACTCAAGTAATGTGAGATTACATATATGTAATTCGAGATAAAGCTAAAGTAGAAGTTATGGAAAACGTCAGAACTTGCCCTAAGGATGGGTATAAAAGCATAAAATCGTTGTGTTAGAGCCACTAAGATGTGACAGGTGGGATGGGCTATGATACGTGGGAGGCCACAGACCTAGGAAAAATAATCTGAAGCCTGCATTTATAGCTGGAGTTGCTAAGGGTGGTATTTAGAGTGCTGATACACGACCTGTTGAATGAAAATGGGGGACAGGGAGAAGGAAGGGTCAAGCAGAGCCTGGATGGCTCAAGCTTAGACTGTGGGGATTTGGCAAGAGAATAAAAGGGGAAGAGGCCTTCTGCCTATTAGGAAAGGGACCCTTGCCCTATAAAAGAAAGCTCCAGGTGAAATCTCAAGAAAATTCCCAAAGCAACATAACAGGCTTTTCCAAAAGCAAAAAGGAAGTGCATCCTATCTACAAGTATATATTTGCAATGGATTATTTTATTAGAAAAATAGCTTGCCTTTATGCATGGGGAGACCTGTGGACAAGCATTTTATTCAACATTGTTGATGTGAGTAGGAATAATATATAAAGACAAAAGCAAACTAACCCTCAAACAAAACTATGTTTAAGCACAAATTCTCCATTATGTTTGACATCTGATTTCTCTTGGATAGCTGAGTGGGACTAGAAATAAATAAATGTGGTTATTGTTTAAAGAGGTAAATTACTTATTAAGTTGGAAGCTTAAGTCTTGGTCTCTTCTACTGTAGTTGCTAGGTCTGTCTCTAAAATTGTGTGATGGGTTCAGGGTCGCGTTAGCCTCTGGAAACTGCCACTTAACATTCCATTAAAGCCCCTCTGGGCCAAGGAGAACAAAGCACTTCTTGGGCAGATTCGACCCTGCAGGCCAGGCTACTATGTGGGAAGGAGAGCAAGGCATTGGAATTTAGGCTGGAGTTCAGGCCTCTCTCACTTCCTTCGTCCTTAAGAATTCTAAGCCTTACCCTTGACCAATCGATTCTGAACTGTAGGACATGGGGCCCAGGAATCTACTTCTTAACAATGTCTTATGTGATTCTTATACTGACTTTTCCATGAAGTTTCTTAAAGAAAAAAATAGCCTCTGTCTCATTTCTGTTGTAGCTTCAATATTGGTATATGGTCTGAGGCTCATACTTGGTATTGAGTAAATGCTTATTGAACAAGTAAAAAAAAAAAACCCAGAAACTAATAACTATTATAAATAAGGCTAATCTCAAAGGCAGAGTCAGTTTTAAAATGATATGAAAAAACAATGCAGAACCCTTCTCATGATTTCACCTAAAATAAGAAAGCTTAGCATAATGCAAATTGACATTATGGTGTCAGATGCTTTTAAATGAATGTGCAAATATCACTGAATTACTTAGTTGCAAAAAAACTTTTAATCCCCATACTTGTATATGTTAAAAATGATGTTAATGTGCTTAAATGTTAAAATAACTAATGTTAAAAATATGTTAATGTACTTAAATATAACTTTTATCACATGATGGGACCAATTTTGTTCCATGGAACACATCCTTTAAATTATTAAGAAAATAATTATGTGTACACACACATACTTTTCAATAACATGACATTTAATTTTGTTTCTTGTCCAAAGTGGTGATGGATCCCATAAGGAATTAACAAGTTTCTAGATGATGTGGCTAGATGATCCTAGATTGATTGGCCTGATTCTTTGGTAATAACCTGTCCCTTTATTTCTGACACTGTCCATCAAGTAACTTCTAAATGTTTAAGTATAGAAACTGATATCAAAAAAGAATGTTATTTCTATCAATAAAGGAAGAGTAATTCTGATTTTTAAGGTATAAAACAAGTAGCTACAGTTTATCTTAGCCAGAAAAAAAATACAATAGATATTAAATATTTCATCCTGGTGGGATTTATTTCTTGCATTGTTCCAAAAGTTAATAATCTCCTCTGTAAGGTAACTTTCCACCTTCCTTATAATAGTTATTAAATGAATTCTTTCTTAGTCAGACATGTCTCCATACATACCTTTTGTACTAAGAAAAGGAAGGATGTAGATATTACATAATGACAAAAGCCCCCTATATTTAGTGTTTCCTTGGACAATTGCTTTACTTTATCACTCTGCCATTGTGGATGTTTCTTATTTTTAGTATTCGGATAATGCTAGCATGTTTTATTAAATCTGTCTAAGTAAAAGTAGAAATAACATATATATGGATTTGCTGGTATCTCTAAGGCTGTCATATGTCCTTGAAATGCATGGATTAAGAGAAGGACATTACTTTAATATGCTTGGCTTTTGCAAAAAGTATTCAGAAAATGCTTCCCAAAATAAGACATATTTATGGAAACATTTAAAAATAATTCAAAACTAAGCATACTATTAGAAATTAAACTGTAAATAAAACAGATTTTCCTCATGGCTTGCATGCAAAATAAATAATTCAGAAGCTAATTTTACTAAGTTTTGGTTTCAGAGTAGGATATTGAGTGATTTCTGATTTTATACCCTGCCTTGTCAAAATTAATTATATGGAGACCTTTACTTCTGAACAAGATGGGGTAACAGAGATTGATTTTACCCCATTCTAGAAACAACCAAAGAATGAACAAAACACATAAGCAAAAGATTTCAAGACAGTGGATTTTGGGCCAGAAGGGCAATGATTCCTGAGAGGTGGGAAACGAATGAGGTGAGCATTAGGATTGCCTCAGATTATCATGCTGAAAGAGTCGGCAGGATGCAGTACCCAGTGAGCATGTCTGTGAGGAGACTATCCGAGGAAAGGACCACCTTAAATGAGTACCAGCACGCCCATTCCCACCAGCCAGACTGGAAATCCTTCATTTGCAGTGCATCGGGTATTGTACACAGACAGATATTACTTTCATTGTGGGGAAAAATTCATGCTGGTTACAGTACTGCTATGAACCCAGCTCACAAGCCTTAAAAGCAAGACCCATATTATTTCCAAGTAACTAAATCACAATAACTCTATACGTCTAGTAGAGTAGTTAGAATTAAAAAGACTGGCCATCCTGAGGATTAGTGACTATATGGAAAACTGGAACTCTCATATACTGTGGATGGGAAAGTCGAATGGTATAAATGCTTTGGAAAGCATTTTGGCAACCTCTTAGACGATTAAACATCCACCTATCGTATAATCTAGTCATTTTACTCTTAGGTGTTTACCCAAGAGAAATAATAGTGCCTGTCTATATGCAAGCTTATAGATGAATGTTCAGAGCAGCTTTATGTAAAATGGTAACTCAAAACAACCCACGGGTCCATTAATAGAGAAGCGGATAGACAAATTCTGGTATAGCTGTGTAATGCAATAGTATTCAGCAATAAAGAGAAATGATCTACTGATAAGCGTTTCAACATGGATGAATCTCAAAATGATTATGCTGAGTGAAAGAAGCCAGGAAAAAACCCCACACCACACACTGTATGATTCCATTTACATAAGAGTCTAGAAAATACAAACTTATCTATAAAGAAAGAAAGTAGTTGGTTGCCTCGGCACAGGCTTGGAAGTGGGGAGGGGTGGGAGGTTAGGGTTGCAAGAGGCCATGAGGATTCCCCATTCACTACCTTGATTGTAGTGATGTTTCAAAGGTGCATATATAATGTCAACATGTATCAATTAGTACATTTTAAATGTGTGCATTCCAAAGAAGACATCCAAATGGCCAACAGACACATGAAAAAGTGCTCAGTATCACTCAGCATCAGGGAAATCCAAATCAGAACCTCAATGAGATACCACCTCACACCAGTCAGAATGGTTAAAATTAACAAGTCAGGAAACGACAGATGTTGGCGAGGATGCGGAGAAAGGGGAACCCTCCTACACTGTTGGTGGGAATGCAAGCTGGGGC